ACAGCGGGCTGCGCGGGACGGGAGCGGTCAGCGGGGCTGGGTCCGCGGCACCGGTCCCACGTGGTGGCTGGGGCGCGGGGCTGAGCTACGTGTGCGGCCGCGGGCCCACGCGAGCTGGCCCAGCGTGTGGCGAGCCTAGGAAAGTGAACAGGAGTCGGTTTCCTGTCCTCTGCTGAAGGCGGCCCTGGGGGGCGTCCTAGGCAGAGAGCACGTCTCGCGCGAACGGGTCTGGAGTGGGAGGCGAGGGGACGGGTCTGTGGGGGGGCAGAATGTCAGAGCAGCAGAGAAGTGGGAACGGGACGCAGCCCCCTGTGCAGCAGCCTCTCAAACCCTTTGCATTATGCCTCCTACCATTCAAAAGACTTTAGCTCACACCTGCGGTAAGTACTTATATACTTATACGTCACATGTGTTAGATCTGTTGTAAAAATAAAAGAGGCTGTGAGAATAAGGAAGCGTGAATAGAATCCAATGCCTGCCGCAATGGACACATCGTTTTAACTGGACTTGTGGGCACTAACGTGTCCATCTGACCCTTGAGAGAGTATATATCAGAATTGCTTCTATGAAAACAGAGTTGAGTGCTGTGGAATAAATGCAGACTGTTCAGTTAGGTGAGAGACTTGTAAATATTGAGAAACAGTGAAATCTAGGATTCTGCACTTAGATGCTTCTTAAATGTCTGCAAGTTCTTGTTCCGTTTTTTTAAAAAGAGGAATCTGTTTTCTTTAAAAAAATTTTAAATTGATTTTTTAGAGAAGAAGGGAGGGAGCAAGAGAGAAACAGTGAGACACATCGATTGGCTGCCTCTTGTATGTGCCCTGACCCAGGACCAAACCCACAACCCAGGCATGTGCCCTGACTGGGAATCGAACCCCCCACCACTTTTCAGTGCACCGGATGAAGCTTAAACCAACTGAGCCACACAGGCCAGGGCCCTTGTTCCACTTTAAAGGCAGTGACAGGGCTGCTCACTGTGCATTGTGTCTGTAGAGTTAAGGATGAGATGGGGTCTGCTCAGAAAGGACGGGTCTTGCTCCATGGGGGGTTGAACGGGTAATCTTGTTTTTAAGTCAAGCTTCATTTTTGTCATTCTTCAACCAAACTTTGCACCCACTGCCTGTCCCAACCTGGTTGGGTACAGAGGCTATTCAAGTGAGAAAAGCCCCTTAGGAGTTCTGGTCCTTTGCTGGCCCCAGTCCTTACCCTAGTGCCCTCAAAGCTCTGGGGCCTCAGATGCCAGGGTGGGTGTGGCAGGTAGAGAGCCGATGGGAACTGAGCTCTAAGAAGGGGACATTGTTTTTCAAAGTCTTTTCCATGTCAGATCCTGGGACTTAACTGTCCCTTCCAAGGGCAGGTAGTCATGGTGTTGGAGGAGGTGGACAGTAAGGAAGACCTGGGTAGGTGGCTGGTTGTAGTGGAAGTGGAGGCTTGTGACCTGAGGGCTGTGACTTGTGGCCTTGGAGGCCGGCCACAGAGAGCTGCAGGTCAGCATGCAGCCTAGTGGGCAGGCTGTGGGGTCTGCCATCATTCATTAACACTGTGCTTCTTGCAGCCCTCTCTGCTTTGGGCCCCTGCTCCCAGCCTTAGGGATGACAGCGATTCTGGCCTCTCTGACAGCAAGGAGAGTATATTCTCAGGCCTGGAAGATTCCGGCAGTGACAGCAGTGAGGACTCCACTGAGGGACATGATGGGGCCAGCAGTGGTGAGGGCCACGTCAGTACAGAGAAGATCACCGGGCAGCAGGTGGGTGACCCAGGATTCCTCATTGGGCTCCCCTGTCTCAATAAAATTAGCCAGGAAAGAAAACACCCGCCAGACCTTGGGTTCTCTGGGGTGGGGCTGTCCCTGCACTGCTTTCTCCAAGTTTCCTTAGGAACCCCCAGGCCCTTGTCCCTCCTTTGATGCACCTGGAACACATCTGGGACTCGGTGGAACACTTATTTGAAGCTGGGGTGCTCTCCAGGGCACTCAGCCCATTTTGCTCAACTCAGTCATAGGCTGGGTTTCATAGGGGAAATCCCGAGGTGAGGATTCAAAGCCAAGGGACACAGGAGAGAGCCAGTCTACCCCACTTGACCCCAGGGGCCACCTGTTCTGTGATGATGGGGAAGGCTGCACCCTGCTCTTGTCTGAAGTTAGAAAAGGGAAAGAAAAGCTTAATTCAACTGAAATATAACATGTGTTAGTTGGAATGTTCTAGAAACAAGTTTATAACTATTTATACTGGCCCTGTGTTCTAGAAGTGAAGACCTTGGCTTGTACAAAGAAGTCTGCTCCCATAATGGAAACCAGAAAGCCTTGCTGGTTTGATTTGTTTCCTTAGGAAGAAAATCTAAAACCAGACTTAAACCTCCACTGTTCAGGCTTTAACTGCAGTGCTGGGCTCACAGAGGAGATGGTACCATCATTCTGTTGACCCTGGTGTGTAGGACTGTGGGAAACTGTTCCTCCTCTTCTTTTTAACTTCTTAAAATTACAAAAGATAGCCTCCTTGACAAAAAAGTGAATAGATCTTCCATCGGCAGTGTTCAACAAAGGGGAAGTTCCCACTAATTGCCCTTTTTCCAGTGGAAGCCACAATAGTTCAAGCATATTCCCACCTTAGAAATTAAGGCCTGCACATTAGTGTTTAAGTTTTCATCCTCTCCTGTCCTCACTCAGGCATGTTTCCCATGCTTTTCAGAGAGTGGAGGGAGACATCCATGTGAGAGGCACATCGACAGGTTGCCTCCCTCATGGGCCCCGACTGGGACCAGGGATGGAGCCTACAACCGAGCCCTTGGTCGGAGTAGAGCCTGGGCCCCTCAGTCCGCAGGCCAGTGCTCTAGCCACTGAACCAAATGGGCTAGGGCTAAATTTTTATCCTTTCTTATAAACAAGATATTTATAATAATTTCTAAAATTCAAGTTTTTTTAATGAAAAGAATTTTTAATTTAAACTTTTCTAAAGTAGGTAATGTGTGCAGGTGTCCCCAGAGGCTGTCCAGTGGAAGGGGTGCTGGCTCCGGGTGTGCCCACTCTGTTCTCTCCGAGCCACCGGACATGGACTCGTGCACCTGGCTTCTTGCTCAGGTTTCTGCACCCATGTCACTGGCTGCTCTCTGCAGTGCTGCCATCTGGGGTTAGTGGAACTGAGGCTCCAGCCCAGGAGAGGGTACCTGCCCCACCTTCTCCAGAGGGCAAGGTGACATCTGAGCCTTCAGTCTCAGGAAGCTGGATGGGGCCGCCTGGATGGGGGCAGTCCTCAGGGTGAGGGTGCCTGTGGCTCTGCAGCAGCCCAAGCTGTCCCCCATGCACACCCAGGACTGTGGCTCCCCCCAGGCTATGCAGGGGCAGTGTCAGGACTTCACCTGCCTTGGCTCCTGCCAGTGAGATGTCCTTCTGTTTCACTCCCAGGCTCTGAGGGCCATCTCTGTCTCCTGTGGGCTATTCTGGACAGGAGCCCTATAAGTCACGTCTCTGGCTTTTTTGTGCTTTAGCTGAAGGGTACAATCAGCTCCTGTTGGAGGATTTTCTATTCTAAAGAAATGTCTTCATGACTTTCAGTTTTTTCAGGGCAAGAGAGCAAATTGAAGAGGTTGGGGTGTTCTGAGCTCCTCAGTGGCAAACCCCCCATCACTCTTTTTTTTCTCACCTGTTTCTCAAAAGCTGTCTGTACCCTCCACTTGGATGAGCTGGTTATTCCCCTCCATGTCTACCGTTCATGCTTCTCTTTGGGTGTCTGAGTCCAGTCTCCATCATGTAGCTTTGTGGCTGGGAACTGAGCCAGCAGGCCAGTCACTGCTTCCTGCATGTTTTGTTCTCCCATGTGCTCACATGAGGCATCCACGTGGACCTATGAAAGCCTGTCATAAGCTGCTTCCATGGCCTCTAGTTGGCCTGTTCCTCTCATCCTGGAGCTGATTGAGGGTTGCTTGTCTGCTCGGACCTTCTTACCTTGTTGGGGAGGTCAGGGCCCTCTTAGGGGTTTGCTGGCCCACCTTTACCTGCCAGAGCTGGTGGATTGTCACCTGCCACACCATGGAGGTTTTTTCCCAGAAGTTTTTGCCTCTGGGGGTGGGTCCTCAACACAGAACCCTCTTCCCATTATGATAAGCTCCAGAAACCCATGCCAGCAGGGACATCCACTTCTGCTGCTTTGGCTAAATGTCCAGGCACTTTAATGGAAAGTCTCTAAGGTTCTTTGACACCTGACCATGGCCACAGCCACTGTATGGTCCTTAGGTGAGCTAACTGGAGAGGGAGATGACTTCTGTTGAGAGCAAACAGCCCCACCCCCGCCTTTTCTCCTGCTGCCTCCCTCCCAGGGCCTGGCTCACACCAGGCTGCCCACACCCACCATGCCAGCAGCTTTCTGCTGACTCCTCTGCTGTGTGTTCCCGGCTGCCACTTAGCACTGTCGCTGTTTCCTCCACATTTCACCAGCCAGAGTGTCCCTTATAACTTTCCTACCAAGGATGGGGCAGCCCCCCCCAGCGACCACTCTGCCATGCTGTCAGGCATCCTCAGCCCCCTGCATACTTTGGGCTCTAGCTCACTGCTGAGGGGAAGGTGTGGTTGTCTCTGACTGTTCTTTTGAATCCCTTTTCCTAGAATTCCCTTTTCACTCCCCTTTTCCCCTAAAACTCAGTTTACTGCCCGGCCTCAGGTTCCTTTTCTCTTCCTGTGTGGAAACAGCCATGTGTTTACCTGTTAGCCCATGTCCTCCCCGAGTGTGGGGTTGGGGAGACACAGGTCATCCTGACAGTAGATTTCTGAGCTCTCACTTGGCCGTCAGCTGGAGGAGCTCACTGAGGAAGAGCGAGGTATACTTGGGCTACACATGGGTGAGTGAGCACAGACAGCCTCGCAGGGCAGTGTCGGTGCTGGCCACTCCCCCACCTCTCCTCCCCCCACAGTGGACCCAGATCTGTTGCTGTGCTGAGTGTAGTTGGGTGGGGACTCGCTGCTCTGCTGCAGTGACCTCCTCGCCGCGTCCGCTCTGCCCCAGCATCCGTCCTGTCTCAGCCCCTCAGGGCTAACAGCCCTGTCCCGGTCCTTTGCCACCCTGTTTACCTGAGTCCCTGTCTACCAGGCCAGTCACGCAGTGTCCTGGCCACACTCTCCAGCCCTGCCCTTCACACTCTTAACAGCATGTCAGTGTCTTTGAGCCTGCTGCTGGGAGCCCTGTGCCAGCTGGCTGTACCTGGGTCACTGAAGGTGGCCACACTCACCTCCATGTCTCCCATGTCCGCCTCCGTGCTCTCCTTGGCTCTCCACTGACCACCCACACCTGTCCTGTTTCTGCCCTGGGGCTTAACTGCTGGTTTTAGCCC